AAATAATGTCGCTCTGTATTACTTTTAAAAGATAAAATAATGAAGAATCTGAAAGAATGTACGTATTTTTGTCGCACTGTGAGAAAATTCCGTTACCTAGGACTATAAAATTTTGAATAATGTAGTCCTCCACCTGAAAGCCCGAATTTTGAGCTTCGAATTTTATATTTTTCAAACTTTAATGAATTTTTAACAAACTCAATGATTTGAAATTGAATAGTGGTGGCACTGTGAGGATTAAAACATTGCTATCTGCAGCGCACGAGAGTGTATATTCGAAATCCTAAAGATAGGCTGTTTTTAAATATTTTGTGATTCTGTTATTCAGCTGAATTTTGTGCGGCGAAAGTGCGAAGAACATGATATTTAATTAATAATATAAGTTAATATTACTAACAAATCGTTAATAATAGACAGACAAAAATAATGTTTTAGAAAAATGTATGCCGACACTTAACACTTCATCAGGAAAAGGCAAAAAGACAAAAATAAATAGGTTAGTAAGAGGGAGTGCAACAGCAGATTAGACTACGAGCTCAGCGAGAGCGATGAAAAACCTTAACAAACCATTATGGACGACCGTTAAAATCTTAAAGTGTTAATCAGCCGTGTTTGCTAATAAAAATAATGTAAATTTGGACTCCAAATCATTGAAAATCTAAAACTGCTTCTTCACATTCTTTATATAATAATTAATGCCAATTAATTTAAGAGAAATGTATTCGCGAGCTGTGTAAAATTGCTTCATAGGCCGCCGCTAGTTTGAGACCACTAATGATGTGAAATCTATCGACTTTTAAATTGTGGAGAACTTGGAATATAAACAAAAATAATTTTTTCTTTTCATTGAGCTTGTCGACAACGTTTTACTCGCTGCGATTTCTTCACGAGCGCTTTGTTAGATATAGCTAAAGTTTAGGAAGGCTTTCCTAATTTTGTATTGTACATTTGATTTAACTAAAACCTATGTTAGTGCCTACACGCAAATTAACGGAGTTTTCATTCTGTAAATGTTTTTCAGTTTGTGTTATAGTTAGGTCAACGTGTAATAAACAATTTTATTTTGGTATTACCTTGGTTGCGAAGAGTTTAGCTAAGGAGTCAGATGGAAGGAAACGTCGTTCGACGATCTTCTAGGGTTACTGAGTAGACTAGTTTTGATTCTAAGATCGAGAGTATCAAGCATATAATAATCCTTATTTTAGTTTATTTCTGTGTATAGTTGTCTGTACTCAGGAGGAAGTTAAACAAAAAGAAGAAAAGTTTCAAGCTGTGTGCATCTGCCAAGTAATAAATTTTATTACGGTAATCAAATAGAAAAACCTTAACTTATCCGAAATAATTTAAAGAATTGTGAACAGGCACGCGAATTAAAAAAAGAATAAACTGCGACAAAAAGAAAAATCTGTCTATTAAAATATATATTTTTCCACCTGACAAAACATTTTAATCAACTCATCTTATGAAATTAAACCAAAATCAATCCATGAGTAAAAGCATTTTACTTGAAACACTTCATTTGGCACCTAGTTCCTTATAATTTGTAACGCATTGCATGAAGTCAGAACAAACGCAATCCATCAATAAACTCATTTACTTCAAATGGCTCATTTGGCTCTCCGTTCCTTACAGCAATTATAGTTTTCACTACACGGTGATGCGAAACATTTGCATCTTTTCTGAGCAAGAAGCGCACATGCAAAGTGCAATATTATCTTCAAATTAAATATTTATTGTTTGATAGATTATCTACTAAAATATATATTCAATCTGTTGGCATGGTGGTAAAGAAGCTGTTTGTCATTGCCTTTGGCCTCGATTAGAATCCTAAAGAAGGCATGGATATTTGTAAATGCATAGTGTGTTTATGTCATAGGGCTTCAATATCGTCGAGGTAAAGTCCTTTCGAGAGGTTAATGGTAAAGAAAGAGAAGTAGGAGATTCTCAGATCCGCGAACGGGAATTTCTTTACAGAAAATGGAACTGGCTATAGACAATATCCTACTCTCATCTGAAAGGTGCGCAAAGCATCAGTCATTGACAGGCGCGTTGGTCACAATGAATTCGTTGACCACAATGAAGTGATCCGACAAAACGCAATTCGGACATAGCATAATACTTTTATACTAAAATATTTCTCATTATTAAAAATTAATTAGCAATACTTAATCATTAATTACTACTAGTTTTTAGTCAGCTCTTAAGTGTTACACTCAAATCTGGAAAACCGTACCCCGAGTTTTTGCCCCGGATGAATTCGAATGAAAATTGCATTGATTATCTCTAATATTACTAATTATCTGTCTAATTTAAATGTTGAAACTGAAGGTAAATATGAAAAAATACGAAATAAAAAGATAAATATCTTGTAAATGTTTGTCTTCCGTCAACGTACGAGGGCTATCCAGAAAGTAGATTACGTTTTGGAATAAAAAAATAAACAAAGTATAGGAAACAAATTTTATTATATACAGATGAAAGCCACACTCAAATACTACTTTTCTACATAGTCACCATACAAATTAAGGCATTTATCGTAGCGATGTACGAGCTTGGAAATTCCTTCGTCGAAAAATTCGGCCGCCTGCGCCTTCAACCACTTCGTTACCTCTTCTTGCAGCTGTGCGTCGTCATCAAAACGCTGCATAGCCAGCCACTTCTTCATTGCTGGGAATAGGTGGAAGTCGCTCGGTGCCAGGTCGGGACTGTACGGCGGATGAGGAAACAACTCCCACTTAAAAGATTCAAGAACTTTACGAGTGACATTTGCCGTGTGGGGCCGGGCGTTGTCGTGAATCAACAAGATCTTAGAGCTCAACATTCCTCTGCGCTTGTTTTGAATTGCTCTTCTGAGTTTTTGGAGAGTTTGGCAATACCTTTGAGAGTTTATTGTAGTGCCTCTTTCCAGGAAGTCCACCAAAATTACACCTTTTCTGTCCCAAAAAACAGTCGCCATCATCTTCCTTGCCGACATTGTTTGCATGCATTTCTTGGGTTTTTGGGGGGGAAACTTGTGTGCCCCCACTGCATTGATTGCAATTTCGTTTCACAGTTCACATGTTTCACCCATGTTTCGTCACCAGTAACGATGCGATCGAGTAAAGAGTCACCATCCTTATGGTAAGCGTCCAAAAGTTCAACGCTGCAGCCATTCGCTGATTTTTGTGGTCCTCTGTCAAGATTTTTGGAATCCATCTTGCACAAAACTTGTGGTAACCAAGCTTTTCGCTGATGATTTCGTGCAACAAACTTCGCGAAATTTGTGGAAAACTCAAAGAAAGTTCCATTATTGTGAAATTCGATTTTCACGGACTTTAGCATCGACTTTTTCGAGAAGTTCGGCGGTCACTATGCTGGGTCTCCCACTTCGATCTTCGTCGTGAACATTGGTTCGGCCATTTTGAAATCTTATGACCCACTGACGCACTCCACCTTCAGTGATAATGTTGTCCCCATACACTTCACGAAGCTGCCGATAGATTTCTATCGGTTTACAGTTTTTTTTGCAGTCAGAAACCTTATTACTGAGCGCACCTCGCGGGATTTTCAATTAACGCAGACATTTCAAACCGTCACAGTATCTGAACGGAGCACAGCACGAACCTCTCACTAGCACGGCTAGATGCAGACTGAGCTGCGCAACGCTCTGACCCCAAGATGGCCGCGCTAGCCCCGCCCCTAGCGGACACAGACGGAAACGTAATCTACTTCCTGGATGGCCCTCGTACAAGATAAGAAAGCCTGCATCAGTGCATCAGAGATTACTACTTTGAATATTACCGAAAAATACAAAGAACAACATTCATATCAAAAAGGAAAAAGATCTTAAACAAATAACCGAATCTAACCGTATTATTTGATGAATGAATGAAGCAAATTTTATGAAATAATTAATGAACAACAAATATCCACGTGTAGGTTTCTATGATCGGTTTCTAAAATAACACACAGCGCAATGAAGTACGCAATAAAGAAAAGAAATTAAATCAATCTTTCCTGCTTTCGTAAATCAGTCTCTTTATCTTAGCGTGGAGTACAGTTTAAATCAACATTCGCCATCTACGAAAACACTTTACTTTGATGAGCATAAAGTGAAAGAATTAAATTAATTGCACTTTAATTAAGCGGCAGGAACTAAGAAATGAAATTTCCTACTAGTCAGTCAATTCATTTCTGCTCACTTAATCGGAGCTTATTATCCATTTCGCTGATTACTAAAATTAATTTTAAAATTTTCTGAAATTTCCAAGAGTTCCCACAGTCTTTACTTGCAAATCTGTTAAATCAGTAATTAATTGCTGCTTGTGAGGGTGAAGAATATGCTTTAATTTATTTTTTGTTCAGAACTATTTGCAACATCGTCCATTGCTTTTTTTGTTTGCTACCTCTGTATTTCATTGAGAACTTCTGTAGTAATTTTGCATTTTACTCTTTAAACATATTTATACATGGGTTAATATGCAAAAATGAATTTTCTGTTCTGTTTGATCTTTTTCTTCGTTATTCATTTAAATTAACACCAAGCTTAGTACTGCGTTCAACAATTTATTAATTAGGTATAAATTATTACAAATTATTTACATGATAGTGATTGCAAGTTTTACTAAAATGTCTTTGAAAATACTGTAATTACATTCAAAATCATGTTTTTCTCCCTATTTGCTGCGTAAAATGCCAATCTTTTTCCTTTTTACCAAGTAAATGTAAACTCTATTTCCAATACAAAAAGTACTTTAACCTTCTGTGACTCGGTTAGAAGTTTCAAAATTAACTAAAGTAATTACTTAATATCCGTCTTTCAAGTGTTTCAGTCTTCATATATAACATATTTGCCACAGTCGTGTTAATAATGCATAATTAATGTATTTAAGTTTATTAATTCAGAAGTATTTAAGTTTGCAGGAATTCTTAAATTGCATTAAACAGTTCCAAAAGCTGAAAAAAAAATTTACCGTGAATGACTGTTTTCATACAATTAAAATGTTTGGTCTTTGACTTACCACTTACATCATACTTGACACCATTGAGTTCAGCAAAACAGGGAAGTCTTGCCGTATTGCCGGCCAAAGTCATAGGCCAACATGATACACCATCCCATGTGACCTTGCAAAATGAAAGATTTTCTGAAATGAAAGATATTGCAAATAAGTATTTTAAGGTCATAAAAATTGCACGAAAATGCTGTTTACTTTGTAATCTAATTTTGTAGGATTTAAGTGTCTCAATAAAAGCTCTTTTCAATCTATGATGAGCTCCACAATCAGTTAGGTACATTACAAGGAACTGCTATAGTGATCTCGAAGTTATTAGATTGCACATGAAGCTTTTATCAGTAGAAAAAGTAGAAAAATACAATAATCTGTAAAAGATATCTAATTCGCAAAGGAATGTCGAATAAGACTGAACGTGGATTGGTTATGGCTAATTGTTTAAAACTAAGGACTACAAGGCTAAAGAAGGGATGCGTTCATAGAAGACTTTCTAAGAAAACCTATGCTTCTATTTACGTTATACATGTAGAAATTAGAAATCTGTGCCTGTTAAGGCACTCAGCGGAGAATTGTTACTGAAACGTAAGTTTTAAAAATAATAAAAGTTTTAATAAATTAAATCTAATAATCGTAAATTTTATAAGTTATCACATTTGAAAATTCATCAATTGTTACTAGGGATTTTGCTTGAAACATAAAAGTCGTACAAGAACAAAATATATTTCTCGCTTCATAAGTTTTTTAATGTTTGTCATTAAAGATTATTAACAGACTTTGTCAAAATGTCCGTTAAACTAAGCAAAATTTAATTAATGCAGTAAACTATCTGCCAATAAGTATTTGAACATCTGTGATACAAAGGATAAACAAAATTTATTCCAATTCAATAAACGGTAGAGCCTCCACGAGCGATAATTACAACCTCAACCCTCCGAGGCATGCTTTATAGAAGTCCTTATATGACGACTATTGGAATTTTCTTCCATTCTGCTTGGAGAAGGCAAGCTCCTTCACCGATATTGAACCCCTTAATTCGGCGATCCAACTCGGCCTAGGGTTTTTCTATAGCGTTCAGGTCTAGATTTGGGGAAGTCAGTACATTCTGTTAACCCCATTTTCACCATACCAGTCCATGGTGGACCTCGCAACATAACAGCTGGCGATGTCGTCCTGAAAGCAATATGGATCCAACTCCTAAAACTGCCATAACGTAGGAAGCACACTGCCATCAAAATAGTGCAACATATCTCGGTGTTACGTTTACTATGAGTTTAGACCAAGGGTTTAGTACTTACGAGAAGAAACATACCTAGATCATAATTCCAACTCCGTCGAACCTTACTGTGGGCACAATGCATTCTTGCAGGAGGCGTTCTCCTGGCAGACGCCAGACCCAGACTCTGCCGTCCAAACGGTAGAAGATGAACCTTGATTCGTTACTCTAGAGACTCGTTTTTTCATTGCTCAATGGTCCATTGGCGGCGTGCTTTAACCACATTAACCAAGCAGCGTGTGAACTGCTTATGAGCAACAGCACGACCATCAAAACCAAGCAGATATGCTTTCTTACGGATGTTATTCATCAAAACAACACCCCGGCTGCCTCTTGAAACTCCTGGAGTATGTGTGCCATCGGTTAGGTGGGTTGTTTCCGAATTTCTCTGGACAGCAGCCCATCTAGCCGTTTTGAAGGACTGCTGGCTCGAAGCACATTCTGATAATCACCGCTTACCTTCCACTTCTGAATCACATACGCCGTTGTCCAATTTGGATAATTCAGCACCCTAGATATGTCTCTTAAGGATCGGCCATTTTTGTGATACCCGATGATTACACCATTATCGAAACCAGATAACTCTGCATGTCGTAGCATTTAGCATGTGGCTAATGCCAATGCTGTTTCCTATACGATATTTAATGGTGGAAGGCACAACGTATATCAGGACCGCAGATATCGGTATTTGCATGGATGTCCAATATCCATGAAAAAATTATTTAAAATATGATTTCTTTACTTTCTTTATCTCTCGTTTACTAAATGATAAATTTTAAAATCTAGTTTATATTTAAGATTTAAAACTTAGCAGGTGCCTGTTTATGAAACAAGAGAAATAAAACTTAATTGCAAATACCTGTTTTATTATTTTTTATAATTATTCGGTGCTTCGCTATTATACACTACACGGAAAAAGAGAAATGCACAGTGGAGAACGTTTTAAGTATTGTATCCACCTTACAAATATCTTATATCCACCTTACAAATCAGGAAAAACACCAAACCGCCCATATTTCCAGCCCGTTCCCGCCGGGACTCAAACCCTGGACTAAATTATCACTATTCAGTATCTTTTACTGCTCGGTCCAGGTGTTTATATTTAAGTACTTAAATAATATGTTTTTGTAAAATGTAGCATACGTTTTCCAAATTGTAGTAGATACAAAGTGTAGCAAAAGTCAGGGAACACTTTAAAAGCATTATTGTAGTCAAACGACCTGCATTACAAAGTATATCATTTCAAAGAGTAAGGCTTAAGTTCGTTTTATCACTGCAGATATTACGTGAAACTTCATATATCGTCGCTAGGTTCTGTCGTGATGAAGATGGCATTCTCTAGAGCTGAGAAGACTTTCTGCGTGCTAGAATTTGAGAAAACGAAGATCTCATCGGATGTCCAACAAAAATTTAGGATGAAGTACAGGAAAATACCACTAATCACAAAGGCAATCAACAAGTCGCATATAAAGTTTGCTAGGTATTAGAGTCCCAAGAAGAAAAGTGGTCAGTCAGATGTGAATGCAAATTACATTCAATGAATGAGAAAGGCTTCCCCATGGTGTGCGAAAAAATTTGTATGCACAGCTTCACGATAGTTGGAAATATCAACAATGACTCTGTAGTGTGTCTTGCGAAAACAAATATCAAACCTTACAAACTACAGTTAATGAAAACGTTCCTATTTTAAAGAAAAAGGCAGCGATTCCAATTTCGCAATGACTATGCATAATTATTTACAGAACTTTAAGCTACACAGTAGAGAAATTTGAAGATATTGCAAAGATATCTAAGTTCTCATTTGTTGTTATAAAATAAGTTATGAAAGAAGGTGATGGTGATATTCTTAAAACGTGAAAGACAATAAATAAGCAGTAGAAATTTTATAAAATGGCATGGATTATGAGCAAAGCGAAAAAATATATTGACTGATGCACAAGGCGTGGCAAAAGTAAAATTTGAAGAGTTAATTACTTAGCAATATTTTCTTGGACAAAATATGCTATACAATTTATTCTATGATATACATCATTCTTTTAGACTTAGCCACTATGATGGCTTAAGATATTATCTAAGCAAGGTCGAGATTTCCGATGTCCGTGTAACAAAATGCAGTGTCTTAATTATTGAGTGACACTGTTGTTCTGACATTCTCCTGATTCTTGAATTTTGTAGCCCCATGATGACCTTCACAACAGAGAAGAGATGAAACTTATTTGGGGCCAAATCAGAGATACCGCATAGATAGTGTGAATCTTCCACTAGACATATTAAGAAAGTTCTCAAACTGAAGTAGCACTAGGATCCCTATCACAGAAAAAACGTTCACCTTTTGTAACGTCATGTGTGATTCTTTGGCAGCGCAAATGAATTAGAAAAGATTAAAGTAATATACATTTTCTTATTATGATGATCATGAACTATTTTAATAGCGTTCAAGGTTTCACAGTTTTAAAATGGTGCTTCATGATAGATAATCTTCAAAATGCTCAAAAAAATGGAAAATTATTCCTTTCAATACGCTCAAATGAGGAAAGAATGACGATGAAATCTGTGGTTCAAAACATATTTCACTTTCACTTCTTACTTCACATCCTTTGAGTCAATTATTTAAATGCAGTCACGTCACATTTGCACTTAAAGTAAATCTCTAAGATTTCACCTCTAAGCTAAAAGTACGTGTGCATCTGCGTGCACCTATATACGTTGTAAGGTTTAGTTTAATTAATGAGTTATTTTATGTTCCGAAACTGAACTGTTACTTCTCTCTTTCCGTTTTCCTTCAAGAATACAAATTAGCTCGTGTGTATTTAAGCGAAGGTTTGAACTTATTTAGACAGAACAATCAGCCTATTATTGCTGCGAACTCTACTGAATACTCAAATAATGAACACATGAGACTCTCTTTGAACATTTAGGATAGCAGTTCACCCTTAATGTGACACTGATGAACCCAGAATTTATCACACATGTTTAAGACCTTTGTTGATTCTTGGATCTGCGCCCTCAGCAAGCCCTACACCTGACATCACTACTCCAGGTAAAACTCAATATAATACGCAAGTTGAATATTAAAAAGACCCCGAGTCTTAACAGAATTATCAACAACATGTTACGCAATTCACCTTCCAACACTATCACCAAGTTCACTGGAATTATCATTGCCCGCCTGACTCCAATTATTTTTCCAATCCTTAGAATAGTGCCAAAGTTTTTGTTCTCGCCAAGCCTGGAGAGGATAGCATCAAAGTAGAGAAATTTCGCCCCATGAATTTGCTTTCCAATCTCAGCAAAATTTATGAACGCATTATCTGAAAAATGATGCATCCATATCTTCAGTACGGATTCAGAAAGCAACTGTCTTTTTGAAAGTAATTAGTCAGGCTAGCTAAATTTATTGCTTCAGCTCTGCACCATAAGAAATACACGGCACTCCTTCTGACAGACGGGCCCACTAGCGGCCGAGCGGTAAATTCGCTGAACACTGGTAGTTCGGTCCGAGGTTCGAATCCCGCAAACGGGCTGGCTACATGGGTCTTTTCGTGGTTTTCCCCATGTGTAACGTGTATACGAGTCAGTTTCCCTTAGAAAGTCCTCCACATATCCCTCCCCCTTAGGCAGATAGCCCTAGTGTGCTTTGCCATAATTAAATACACCTTCTGACAGACGTAGAATAAACATTCAACCTCGTCTGTCTTAAAGGATTGATCTACAATCTGATCAAAATAAACTTTGGATGGAAATTATTCTTCTCAATTCCTTCTTTTCTGACCAAAACTTTAGTGTCAGTCAAGGAAATGACTATTCAGCTTTTAAAAACATCATTGTAGGAGTGTTCCAAAGATTCCTGTCTTGTGAC